AGGAAGCCATAACGAGTGTGCTTCATAAGCGCGAGCAATTAGTTATATAGGTCATGGCTACCAATTAAAATGAGTATTCAGCCAGTATCTTTGATGAACAATCACTACTGAAAGCGTATGTAGTAGTGTAAAATGAAATGAAAAAACACATCCGAAAAAATAACACAAGGTTGTGGTTATAGAGATATTCAACTATGGTTGCATATCCATGACTATAGTTAAGTTTGAATCGAGATATCCGAAGACACAAATGTCGAGTTCCTCCCCAGGTTTAATTGGAAGAGATGATGTGGGTAGCCAGAAGTAGGTTGTGTGAATAAAGGCAGTTCGACGGATACGTTAAGGTTCGCGGATACGTTCTGTGATGTTGAGATTTTTTATTTTATAATCGTCCTATGGCGCGTATTTCACGCGAAGAAGCAGAGGTGTCCTGCAATAAATTATTAAAATTGTTCCATGCTATTTTCTCGCTTGCACTGAGAGTCCATCTTTTCTTGGTTTATGCGCTTCAACCATGTAACTCGATCTTTTCATGGCTTGCGCACAAATGCAATTTGAACGCGCGCGCTTCCTGGCTTGTGCATACCTAAACAATCAGAATGCTGGCTTATGCATGAATCGCATGCCGTCACTTTCTCGTATCAGTCCAAACTTCCCGCCGGACGCATTATTTGACCTGACGTGATGCCGGAGCCCATATACAAATTCAAACGAACAAGAAGTTTGTTGATACGACGGTCAGGAATTTCCTTTGGCAAGTAAAATAAACTCTGAATGTCGCCATTGCTGAATTGAACAGCGATTCGTAATCTCCGAGGTGGCATGCTGGCCGCTGCGAAATCTTAGATCCACATGAACCTTCATTGCGGTCATGAATATTTATAAAGCCCAAACAGGTAGTGGCTAGCTAAACGCTACTCATGTTTACGTTGTAACGGCTAGTCATGCCCCAATTTGTGTACTCCCTAAAGAAACTCGAATTACAGAATAGTAGTGTAAAATAAATGAGTTAGTACATCACACACAGCATTGATAATTGGCTTATTCAAAATACACGATTTGTTTCGACTCGTAAAATAACGTTCTTTACGCACCCAGCTCGAAAAAGTAAGTGCACGTGTACTATTTTAATGAAGCAAGAGATTTTTGTCACCCGAAGACGGACTTACACTTTCCGATTAAGGTGTCCAAATCCTGTTAAAACTTTAGTAGGTTGTTACTGGTATACGGCGTTTTCGGTTGAACACTTCTTCCCAAGGACACTCGGTAACCGCTTCTTTAAAGTTCAATTCCGCTGGTACCAACCGACCGACTTAACTTGTTAGTATTCACTCTTCTTTGTAGCTTACTTAGGATTATGCTGGATTCCGTTCGAGACATTGAGCATTCTCTGCGGCTGCGTTGTAATTAGATGAACAAACGGATGCCCTTTTTATAACGAAACTGAGGTCCGTCAACAATCTAGGGGATATTCCTCATACAGTGATGGTCATTTGTGGATGAACGCCTATTTTCGAGTTGTGATTTACGTAATAAAACATGAAAGTGATTGGGCAGAATACAGCCGTCAAATGACACCTATTTCGAAGGGCTACAGCGAATTCTTTAAGATAGGTAAAATCGTGTGCCTAATATCATTGTAGTTGAACACAGAAATGCCCCGAGGTGCCGACGGTCTAACTGTTATGAGGTTTTCAAGCGCATGAACTTGCTGTGGACGATAAATGTTGAATACGTAACTTGCCGGGCTGCTGGTATTTACGGTGTTGTGTGAGCGAAGGGGCTGCATCCAACAGCTGGGATATAGTAGGGCTGATCGCGCGACCGTAACTTGACCTCTCATTCCAGGTTGGTCAGTGGATAGAGGTCCAGCAAACACTGTCCTGGTTCTCCATTTTTGGAGACGTAAGATGTATGGTGACTTGTTTTGAAATGGAGATTCAATTTCTTGCGATCAGGCCTTTTAGCCGAATGCTTTGTTTTGGGACCCCAATCGTCCTCCTATGTAGGCGTGGTCGCCCTGGAGGTGTGCCAGCTCGCGAACACCATGAATTGCACACAAGTGCATAAACTCATTCCACCGCAGTCATGGCGTGGCGCCATTAGCCTGGTTGCCTTACTTGATGGCCGAGCTGGCTTCCCTATCACCTTCAACTGTCTTTTGGCTACGCACTCCCTGCGATCCGGGGGTTGCTGCGGTAGGATGTACAGGGGTTGGTACCACCTCCAGCCAATGGGCCAGAATGATCCGTCCTCGACTAGATAAACCACTGATAGCCGCTTCTGTACGGCCTACCTGGCGACATTTGTACCTGCTTACGCCCAACTGACTGCATCTGACAATATCAAAATTTTGAGACTCCCTGAGTGTCGAGCTACCTGAGACGTGGTGCCGGCGTGCGAGCTAAGTCTCGAGGACACTAAGAGACAAGGAAATAGAAAAGCTACAGAAATTTGGGAATACCTGAAGATTATTTCACTTGATTCGTGCGAAAAACAAACGTCCGTAAACAACCTGTGAGTGGAACCATCGAGGGTTAGAATGAAAGCACGCTTCGACCTAGCGACTGAATACGTTGCACGACAGTAGCCGTGGGCTCCATTTACCATGCACCTGAAACCCACAGCTGACTTAGAAACACTGACGGCGAAAGTGGAGCCTCCGTCAGAGTTCTGCGAAAGATGACGCTTCCGGTTTGATTGAAACGGTGCTATAACTCTATTTCTTCATCTGCTCCCTCGGTCTGAACCTGATGCCCTTTAGCCGCGCAATGCATTTAGCTGAAAAACCTTTAGGGGTGGAGTAAAACCTTTTTCGCCGAAACCCAGAATTCCGTCCAGTATGTGCTCAACCCTAAAGATATCCTAATCTATCTCCATATTTTCGCACCAGATTTCATTGTCCACTGAAGCGATAATACCCCTGGCGGAACTGTCTGGTGAAATAATTTCCTAGAATCCCTAAGATTTCGAGATGCCTAAATTGGGGCTCAGAAGTTTGGACTGATACTCTTAACTCAATTGCATGATTGCTTTAGTCCATTAGGGACGCGTCACAGCTTTCGAAAATTTTGTTCATTCGGGTGCATACTGAGCGCCACACAATGCACTTGGCTGCAAAACCTTTGCTACTGAAGTAAAACTGTTCGCATTAAAGTGTTGCATTTTGTTGCGTATGTGATCAAACCGAAAACCATCCCAATCTACGTTCATTTTTGCAGCACACCAACTTTCATCGTCCACCGGAGCAATCATACCTCTGGCAGAAAAGTCTGATGGAATAATTTCTCGGCATCCCTGAGATCCCGTGATGCCTAAATGAGGCTCAAAAGTTTAAACTGACACTCTGAACTCAAATGACCGATTGCTTTAGTCCATCGGGACGCGTCACTGGTTTCGAAATTTCGACTTTATTGTTCGAATACCGAACTCCGCATTGTGTTGCTAATGGGCACCATATTCGGGGGATACTGAATCATGGCTGGCTTTTGGGGTCAGGCTTTCGACCAATGAGAGCTCGGCGTGATGCTGAACTGGCAGCCGGCGTGATCTTTTGGCTAATCGCGTGTGGGACAGGCTTTATAGCTGTAGCAATGTGTAGTATACGGTGTCTGTCAGTTTGATTGATTTATATGTAAGTATTGGTGGTGTTCGACCTTGCTTACTGGGCTTCGGCTCATGAGCTCTGTCTCTGCTTTCCATCCACAGATATTGTCGTGAACGCCTTCCTTCAGAAAATCACTATCCTCTGGTGCTTTCGTAGCGTGCACACTACAAGCGCGATCGGCAGAGTGGAATCGGTGACTTCGCAGCGAAGTTTGTGACATTGTCAGACATGGCATAGTCGCGCCTTGAATGGCGCTCGTGCATCCAAGATGTTGACTTCAGTGCATAGCTCACCTTCAATCTCCTAATGAAAAGTCCACTGACGCCCCTAGGTATATGCAGCAGGTATGTCAGCTCCCGCCTCAAATGTGCAGCTGTCTACAAACCTTCCCAAATCGTTGGTGAACTAAACTGCATCAGCTGTAACCAGCCTACAACAGGTACGTGGGTTTACACAGCGGATGGTGATGTTCAAATGAAGTTGAAGTCCTCAGACATCCCATCTGTTTGCTTGCATTTGGGAAAAGTAGACTTCCTCAGCCAACCGGTAGTTCGTATAATCCACAGGGTATCAGCTTGACCCCGGTCGTAACGAGATTGTAGATGTTCTTCGTCGCCTTATGGTGGCTTGTGGAACAATGATTCGATAGCAGCAAGTGTTATTCCGACCTGGTGTGGATTCAATTGACTGTCAAGTGCTAGAAAAACACCTTACATAGGAGGGACCCACAGTCTCAGTGTTCCTGGATTTCCAAGGGGCATTCGAATTGGCTGACCGGTCAGTCCTCGACACGCTCACCCCGGAAGCTTACGAACGTAATAAATTCTCTGCATTCTCAAACTTCCGGGTGTGTGAGAGTATAAGGCGAGCTCTTCAAAAGCCTCCGTACACAAAACGGCGTCTGTCAGGGGTGCCCAACCTCTCCATTCCTATTTAATTTGGTGATCAATGTAATAATGTGCTGGAGATAGCTCATTGATTAAGGCATTCACGGATTGATACACAGGATCGAGGCTTTTGCCCAAGTTTCCCGGGTCGGTTTTGTTCTTGTCGGTCAGTGGCTGTCGTTCACCTGAAAGGCACAAGCGAAAAAAGGGTGTAGCACTGCTCTTTATGTTCTCAGCGCGGGGCAGTATGCTCGCCAGCGCGAGGATTCGCATAAATAAATGTCTAATAGTGCTTTAAATTGGGTTCGAGAAGGAGCGTGTACAACCGCCGGAGGAAGGTCATTCCACGAAGCTACTACCCGAAATGAAAAAAAGTTTTGTCTAACGGATGTGTGTGCCCTGAGCTTGAAGATTTTCTTACTATGTCCCCGCCGGGTGTTTGCTGGGTCAACGGCAAAAAACCTGTTTGCCAAGCTTTGTTCAAACAGGGCGTAGGTAAGAATTAGGTCCCCTCGGAGGCGACGGTACTCCAGGGGAAAGAGATCAAGCATCGCGAGACGCGTTTCGTAGTCCACGGACTTCAGGCCGGCAACCATTCTCGTGGCGGCCCGCTGGACACGCTCAATGAGGGTAATGTCTTTCGTAAGTCCTGAGTAGACAACTTGGTTGGCGTACTCCAGGAGCGGTCTGACGTAGGCACCATAGAGTATTTGGAAGTCCATGCGAGTAATACGGGAGAAGGTACGTCGAATCATCCGTAAAACGGCGAATGCCTTTTGAGCCGATTTCTCATGGTGTAGTGCGAAAGACAAGTTTGAGGAGACCCAGATGCCTAAATCTTTTTTGGCATCTATCCTCATGATGTTTTCTGGTCCCTTTTCACCATGACGTGGACTCGCAAGAACGTCTGGGAGGTCGTTGACGTAGATCAGAAACAGGAGTGGTCCCAAGACGGAGCCTTGAGGAACTCCAATGGAGACCGGCGCTGGAGAGGAATAGGTTGAGCCTATTCTCACTCGGAATGACCTGTCTGATAGGAACGCCTTGATCCAGCGAAGGATTTTCCCTTGAATCCCGTAAGACTCGTGTTTGTGGAGCAGCGGGACGTGTGGGACCCTATCAAATGCTTTTGAGAAGTCGAAAAATATGGCATCCGATATGAGTCCTTCGTCCTTGGCTTGGGTTAAGCTGTCCATAAACACGAGCATGTTTGTTACGCAAGAACGGTTTGGGAGAACTCATTGGCATGAACTCATTAACCGGAAGGTTCATAGTTCCAAATCAGCCTTATCACCGGCTACCCCTGTCTTTGCTTGGACAACCTGGCTGTATCCCAGCCCCCGTGCCTCCCTCCGTTGGCGAGACAGCTAGGCACCGAAAGGGTGGTAAAGCTCTACAATTCTTTCATTGAGACAAATGCTGAAAGGCCTTCAGAGCCCTGGTGTTCAAATAGCAGCTGATAAGGACGTTGAACTGGAGTATGCAGACAATATTGTTCTCGTCTTTGAAAAGGAGAAGGCGCTGTTGGTTTGGATGAACTGACTAAAGTTATCCCGATTTTTGGCCTGTAGTTTGCACCCAAAAGGGTGAGGTAATTCTTCCGGACATATAGTCACTGCACACACAACTTACAATCCAGGGAGGCACTCGAGTTTATGGAGCGTTTCATGTATCTTGGAAGTTGTATTAGCTGCGATTGTAGTGTGACAAATGAAGTCAATCTACGAATCTGCAAGGCTGGTTTGCCAATTCGAGACACCTATGGCGGCAAAGCTGCATATGCTCGAATCTCAAGGGACATGCACGTCGTGTTTATCAGCGCGGGCTGTTTTGTTGTATGGCTGTGGGACTTGGCCGCTTCGATCGGTGGAACTGAGACATCTTCAGGTGCTCGACAACCGTTGTCTCAGATCCTGATCGTCGTTCAGGTGTAACGTCCTTTCGGGGCCTAACTGCTCTGCTATCACAAGGGAGTACAGGGGCTGGGACACTGTCGGGTTGCCCAAGCCCAGACAGGGGAAGTCGAGAGACAGAGGTCGGGTTCGGACCACCGACCCTCCGGTCAGTAAATTTGCGCTCTAACCTCTGAGCCATCTCGCCCTCTCAGAACCTTAGCTCGTGTGGGCTAGTGTCGGCGAATCCATAACGAGGCTATTGGACTTCCATTGAACAATGTGTCCAGCACCAGAAGCTGTATTGGTACGCTATGCCTTGTGTATACTGAACCATCATTTGCCAATGAGAGTGCTGTTTTCCTTGCTGAGTTCAGAGTAGCGGAGGCAGAGAGATGACCTATCGTTAATCTGGCAAAGGAGTATGAAGGGAGTTACGAAACGTTTTGGTGCTATGGGTGCTACTCGCCTTGCAGGGTGGGGAATGCGTGGTCCCCACTGTGCCTAACTGAGGACGCTGCTGGATGTGGCTGCTAATCGATGTCAGTGACGTTCTTGTTGTTAGCTTCCATCCAGATTGCCTGAATGAGTGCCTGGAGATGTAGGTTCCTTGGAATGATTGTGATAGGCTTGCACTAAATCCTTTGCCCATCCACTTTTATTCTTTTCTTCACAGTGAAGCCTTCAAATAAATCATGTTTTTACGACAGTGAAGCATCAGTGTTGAAGTCTGATGTCATGCTGTCGATGATGGTGATGATGTGAGTGAATACCCCACAAATTTTATATGCTACGTCTCTGGCTGGATACACCCAAAAACAGTCCTTTAGTGACAGCTGCGAGTATGGTGCTTACCTCATACAGGGTTCCGGTGGTTGTCGTACGTGTTAAAGCATACTTCAGACCGCTAATCTAGGGTACATTCAGTAAGAGCAAGACTCGAGGCCTGTGGTGAGTGTATACGGTCAATTTAAGAGTAGTAAGATTGGATTCGAGATATTCGTTGGCACGTTACTTAACTAGTAAGACGTATGAACTAAAATTGGGGAGAGTTGGCTCACTGGTTAGGGCGCGAATATAATGACGGGAAGATCCGTGGTTCGAATCTGCCCTCTAGGCTTGGGCACTCTGGTGGTTTCCCAGACCTCGTGCTTCCTTCGGGTGACATTGAAGCTAGGCACCCAAAGGGTATTGCAGCTGAACATTCATTTTATACTGTTATATGAACTATGTAATAATATTTAATAATTGTTCAGCTATAACAACCTTTCGGTGCCTAGCTGAGGTCTGTACGTAAAATCGTCCTGTCCTCTGTAATATGAGTGTGAAGCATGGAGGTGTTTTCCCAGGCGATCAGCATGTCCATATTCATGGAAGCAGCGATGCCGCCTTCACCCGAAGAAGGACGGTCTAGAAAAGTTCTGCCTCAAATCCTCACACTCCGATCGCCCAACAGTTGACCATGGACGCCGGCGCATTATTCAATACGGTCAAAATGCTTTTAAAACGAAAGAGTCCGGTGCTGCTAAAAAAACACCTGCTGTGCGCAGCTACACCAGGATTGAGACAGTTATTCCATACTCCCCGCATCCTCAGGCCAGACCGGTCCCCTAAAGCCAAGTGAGTCAGACTTTTGATTTAAATGCTCGAGGCAGGAGTACCTCAACCAAACCCTCTTCTTCGGTTCGGGAAACGGAGAATTATCAGTCCCTTGCATCCCTTCGCTCACCTGCCTTAACCTGCATCTCCTCCCCACCCGTCGAAGTCGACAGTGGCGCCAACCTATCTGCCAATCCCCTAGCCACGTTTCCGTGTCTAGGCCATTGCCCAGAAAAATAAACCAAAATAACCATTTACTAACTTCAAAAGGTTTGATCCACGCTGCAGCCTCCAATGTCCTTACTCTATGTCAAATTAGACAACAGGCATATCTTGCTCAAACCTTGCTTCCCCTCACTATCGATGTATGCTGTGTCTCCGAAACACGCATAAAAGACCCCACTTCGATCGTACTTCTCAAGCCATTCAGGACGAGCTCAGATCTTCCGCATTTCGTTCTTCGGATATCTGGATCCTGACGCAATAGCTCGTGGTATCTTGGCGTGAGAGTTGCACTCAGTCTCAAGGCTGAAAGCGCTCTACTGGACTGGACCCAGTAAACAGTCGTATTTGCGTTGTGCGGTTGCCTGTTAAGATCAATTCAATTCGATGCATTAAATGGTGTTTCCTTGTCGTATCAGCGTACGCCTCGACGGACTGCAGTTCTGAGACTGAGGACAGAATTCTTCAAGGTTTGTCGCGACTGCCTCGGTCAGCAATAAGGACAGATATAGTAATTCTGGTGGATGATATGAACGCCAAATTTGGACGACTAAGTCCGACCACAGTTGGGTGGTCGATTTGCAGTCGATACTGAGCGTACGGATAATGGAGAGCGGATTTTCAGTTGTGTGCAAATCATCGTCTGTTCCTGGCCAGTACGAAATTCCAACACGTACGCTCACGCCGAATTACCTGGAGTACACCTACCGCAAGACAGTTTTGGACTCCATTGGACCATATGGCAATCAGTTACCGATAGAGAGCCTCAGTTAAGGATTGTCATTCCTTCTGGGGTACGCAACCTGACTCTGATAACGCCATCGTTCGGGCCCGCTTAGCACTTCGCTTTCCGCCGACACTACGCGTACCAAAAGAGAGCAGCTCCGTTCATCAACTTCGACAAGTTTCAGTAGCTGAAGAATATCGAGCTGATCTGGCTAGAAAGCTACTGGAAACGCACAGTCATATGGATGAAGATTACTTGGAGGATGAATGGGGGCGAATTAAGGAAGCAATCCTGACAGCTTTCAAAACTATTTATCAACCTATCTGACTCGACCAAATGAATACTGGATATTATCGAGAGCAGCTGATCTTATTGCTGCCAGAAGGGCCATACCAGCAACTGGCAAATGCGATGGTGCATATCGATCCCTCGAACACCGGATAATCAGGGGCTTGTAGAATGACAGGAAACACCGGTGGATTTCGAAGGCCCAAAAGTTGCAGAAGGCTTTCGCTGCATGTCACAGCCCAGCCCTATCTCAGGTGATTTGATCAACCGATCAGAAGACTACATGTCAGTGAAACAATATGCGAAAAGGACGGAACAGCTAATTCCTCCCTCAGTTGCCGTGTTGAGTGGTGGGCTGAGCACTTCCAAGAACAGTTCACATGGTCTCCTTCAACACAACCGCTAGAAAAACTAAACGGGTCCGAATAGTATCAGCGTGGCATCGGTCGCATCTCTCTGGCTCTCTGGCATCATTTTGCACAGGTTGATGGATTATCGAGAGAGACATTCGTGAGAATCAAGCTGGGTTTCGCCCTGGTCGAGGATGCATCGAGGGCACTGTATGCGAACTCATCATCATCATCATCATTATCAGCTGTAATAACCGCGTACTCGTCGTACACTGGTTGTAGCTGCCACAGTTTCGTTCACCGATGATTGGGGGGTAAGTAGCTGCGCATTGCACGCGCGAGCTGGTAAATTGGTGCATAAATCCAGCACTTTCAGTGAGTTGTCAAGCGGGGGGGTGGAAAAGGAGCTATGCATTGAAGGCAATAGCTTGGATGCACGAGCGCCACTGAGGGCGCGACTGGGC